TGCAGGCAGTGACTCCTGATGTGTGCCATCTTTAGGTACAAGCCAGTGAGGCCTGGAGCTCTCAGGTTAGAGTTAAAAGTTCCCTCTGACACTCACACAGACACTAAGGGGCAATGTGCATTGTACTCCTTTCCTCTTTATTTTATAGAGCCCCGAATTTATTTGGATGGTAACATATTTGGGAAAAGTATGCCCCTCTTTCTTCCCCATGGAATAAACCATATTTGGTCAAAACCAGGCATGATCATTCCATTTCCGTGTGCTCATGGTTGGTGTAGGGTAGCACGTGATCCACGACTTCACCCCATGATAAATGGTAGGGAGGCTAGCCCTCTTCTGCTTTTAATGAGGTTGCATGAGCAAGCAATGCTTGCAGCTGTGGCAGCCTTTTTGTAACCATGTGGCAACAAGCCTAAGAGGAAAGCTCTGAAGAGGGCAGAGCAGAAACACAGAGAGAGCCTGGGTCTTTCATGCCATTTCTGGGACCATCTGCATGCCACCTGGATTCTGCTCTGGCAGGTGAGGCAGAATGAGAGAGGTGAGAGATGAGAGGATGTGTACTAGCAGTCTGGAAGAGGTCCATGGAGGGTCAGTTTGTTCACGAAACATACCCTTCCACTTTCACCAGTGAAAAGCCCACTTGAGTTTCTAGGGCTGTAGTCCTAACCTACCCAAATGTTTTCATCACTGCAGTTGTTTTCCAGGAGTCAGGATCTAGAAATAGGGGCTTAGAAAGATTAATTGACTTGTCCAACATCAACAGCAGAACTGGGAATCAAACCTGGGTTCTCTGTTGCTAAGACCAGGACTCTGCTCACTGCACACCAATTGCTTTCAGGACTAAACCGGCTGGGTGCAGTGGCTCACACTTGTAATCCCAGCACTTTGGGAGGCCGAGATGGGAGGATCGCTTGAGCCCAGGAGTTCAAGACTGGCCTGGGCAACATAGTGAGACACTGTCGCTACAAAATATTACAGATTAGCCAGGCATTGTGGTGTGCACCTGTAGTCCTAGCCACTTGGGAGGTTGGGGTGGGAGGATCACCTGAGCCCAGGAGGTTGTGACTGCAGTGAGCTATGATCCCACGCATGGTGCTACAGCCTCAGTGACAGAGTGAGACTCTGTTTCCAAAAAAAAAAGACTAAATTCCATGACTCTCTTCAGATTCCACCCTTCCTCGTGTTTCCTGAATAATAGCCTGTTAATAATAATTATTATAATATTTAATAATAATAATTGGCACCCCCATGGACCTAGTGGGTCCAACTCAAATCCTAGCATAGATCAGGGGTTGAAGGAGTCCAGAAAATGTATGATGTATTATTCATTTCACATAGACTTCGTGAAGAGGAGTGTGTGGTTGTGTGAGTCAAAGGGTACCAGGTGGGGCTGGGGTGGGGAGAAGACAGAGAAGGGGAAGCTCTGCTGGTGAGGGACACCAGGGACAGGAAACTTGGTGGACTGCAGCATAGAAGGGAACAGGGTACAGCCCTGTGCTGGAGACTTCCTACTTGGGTGCTATCGTTTGGAAATTTGTCCTCCCAAATCTCATGCTGAAATGTAATCTCCTGTGTTGGAGGTGGAGCCTAGTGGAAGGTGATTGGTCCATGGGAGCAGTTTCTCATGAATGGTTTAGTGCCATCCTTTTTAGTACTGTCCTCATGATAGTGAGTTCTTACGAGATCTGGTTGTTAAAAAAGGTGTGGCACCTTCCCCCACCTCTTGCCCCTGCTTTCCCCATGTGACATGACTGCTCCCACTTCACCCTCTGCCACTAGTAAAGCTCCCTGAGGCCCCTCAGAAGCCAAGCAGATGCTGGCACTATGGTTTACAGCCTGCAGAACTGTGAGCCAAATAAACCTCTTTTCTTTGTAAATTACCCAGTCTCAGATATTTCTTTATAGCAACATAAGAATGGCCTAATACATTGGGTGATTCAGAGAAGGTTTCCTGATGGAGGTTGGGCTCTGAAAAGGGGAAATGGGGATTCTGGGCACAGAAAATGCTGGAGCAGAGCCCAGGCCCAGCAGCTGCAGGGCATGCAGGAACCACTCATAGCAACCAGCCAGACACTGTTCGCCCCCTCTCCCTCTGCAAAATCTCCACTCACTCCTTTGGATAGCGCTGTGACCATCCCCACCTCGCCCTGTGACTTCTGCAGACTGGTGTCCCAGCAGGATGACCCAACTCTCCAGCCTGGCAACCAGAGCCTTCCCCACTAGGCCTTTTTCTCTCCACTCTTCTGGGCATGGTGGCATCTTTGGGCAAACTCCTAACTACCACCTTTGCCTGGCATGGCTGGAACCGCCTCACTGGAACCGCCTCACTGTGAAGCCTCCCTCACTCTGTAAAAGCCAGTACCCCAGGAAGCCTCCTCTAACCCTTTCCCCTCTGCCACTCCAAGGAAGTGCTATTGGATGAGCTGCGTGATCTCTCTGGCCTTCTGTGTGGCAGCAGAAGTTTGTGTCAAGTGCTATGGGAACATGGCTGGTGGAACAGGTGATTCCAGAACTCAGGTGACCAGGACATGGAATGTATGGACTTGCCAATATTTTGATATATAAATCAAGTGTTTTCATTATGGAAGTAACAAAACCTCAAGGGAAATAGAACAAATTCCCTATAATCATCCTACCCAGCTAGGAGGTATATTGTGTGTGCTTTTGACATTTTGCTGTCCTCGGTACAAGGACAGATGTTAACTGTTCATGCCTGTGGAGAGCTGAGGGGTTTTTCTTCTTCTTGTTTTTTTAGAGACAGGATCTCCCTCTGTTGCCCAGCCTGGATGGAAGGCAGTGGCATGATCCCAGCTCACTGCAGCCTTGAACTCCTGGCCTCAAAGGATCCTCCTGCCTCAGCCTCCCAAGTAGCTGGGACTACAGGCACCTGCCACCATGCCTGACTGATTTATTGTTTGTTTGTTTGTTTAGAGATGGGGTCTCCCTACATTGGCCAGGCTGGTCTTGAACTCCTGGCCTCAAATGATCCTCCCGCCTTGGCCTCCCAAAGTTTTGGGATTATAGGCATGAGCCATGTTGTTGTTGTTACAGCTACCTTGAGATACAATTTACGTGCCACACAATGCATCCCTTTCAAGTGTACAGTTCAGTGGCTTTGGGGTATATCCACAGAACCGTACAACCGTCACCACATTGAGAAAATTTTTTATCACCCTAAAAAGTCCTGTGCCCTTTAGCAGTCACCCCATGTTTTGCTTTTTGTTTAACATGATTTTACAAGCACCTTTTCCTGTTCCTGGAAAATCTCCTTACCCATCCTCTTTGGTGACTGTCAGCAAAGGCTTTCATGTGGTGAAATAGCGTGGCCAGGCGTGCTCTAGAACAATGGTGGTGGTGAGGGCTGCAGAAGCTGAGGACCCACAGGCAGAGAGGGAGCGATGGCAGAAGCAGGTGGTGAGAAGGGACTGGGGCAGGACTTTGTGGGTAGAGGGAAGCAAGGCTCTGGAAGCAGAACCAGCAGCACTGCTGATCACTGGGACGCGGAGAAAGGCAGAGGCTCAGGATGTCAGCAAACTTCCTAGGGTGGGTGAGGGTTGCGAGGTCAGTAACGAACAGGGTCCCAGGAAAAGGTGGCAGCACAGGTTTGGGGAGAATTAGAGATGAGCTTGGTTTTGGACTTGTTGAATTTGGGGCCGCCAGTCTCTCTCCTGGCGAGTCCCGCAGTCGGCAGTGGGATGTTAGGATCTGGTCCTCAGGAGGCTGTTAGGGGTGAAGCAGGAGATTTGGGAGTTAAGGGTGTGAGGGCTACGTGGGAGGCCTCGGGAGCCGGTGCCGATCCAGGGTGAGTGTGAAGGAAAGAAGAAAGAGGGCCCGGGGAACACTGGTATTTTCGGGCGGTGGACGAGGATGGGACGGACACGAGCCTGCCTTAAGGAAGAAGGCAGAGCGGGGCCGTAGGACAGTGGCGGGGGAGCGGGTGGAGGGGCGAGGGTGGAGAACAGCGCTGAGCAGCGGGGAGGCGGCCGGGGCTGCAGCCCCCAAGGGCTCCTTGCAGTCCGGCGCCGCGGCCTGGGGACAGCTAGGGTGGTGCCGCGCTGCCCGAGACTGCTGCACGAGCGAGGACTGCGGCCTCGGCTCCCTGCCTGCCCGACAGCACCCCATCCAGTCAGCCTGCCCGGGGTGCGCAGGGTTAGCATGGAGTGAGCTCGCCCCTCCCGGGGGTGCGTGGCCTTGGGGGGTCCTCTCGCGGCGGTTCCTGGGACCGGCGGGCGCCGGGGGCAGAGCCGGGCCCCATCCCAGGAGCCGCCCGGACTGGAAGGCCGTGCGAGCGCTGGGACGCAGCCTCCGAGCTCGAGCGTGACGGGAAGTTGGGGCAATTTGTTAGTTATCCGCCGCCACCAAGACGCGGCGCTGCGCTTGGACCGTAGGGCCCCCGCGCGGGCGCGAACTTTGGGCTTGGGCGAGGGGGTGGTGCTCCGCCCAACCCGAGACGGGCGGGCGCGCCGGCCAATGGGTGCCGCCTCTTGGCCGCGGCCCCGACCCCTGGGTCCCGGCCAGCAGCTCCCCAGCCCCGAGGCTCAGAAGCGGCCGGCGGAGGCGCGGTCCGGGCGCTACGGCCATGCCCGGCGGGGCTCACGCGGCTGCCCTGCGCCCGGCGCGCCTCCGGTAGGGGACGCCCGGGGCCTGGCCGGCCCGGCCATGCTGCTGGAGACACAGGACGCGCTGTACGTGGCGCTGGAGCTGGTCATCGCCGCGCTGTCGGTGGCGGGCAACGTGCTGGTATGCGCCGCGGTGGGCACGGCGAGCGCGCTGCAGACGCCCACCAACTACTTCCTGGTGTCCCTGGCGGCGGCGGACGTGGCCGTGGGGCTCTTCGCCATCCCCTTTGCCATCACCATCAGCCTGGGCTTCTGCACTGACTTCTACGGCTGCCTCTTCCTCGCCTGCTTCGTGCTGGTGCTCACGCAGAGCTCTATCTTCAGCCTTATGGCCGTGGCAGTCGACAGGTACCTGGCCGTCTGTGTCCCGCTCAGGTGAGGCGCTCGGCGTCCCCCGAACTCGGGGCCCCGTCGGAGCTCCCAAATGGGTCGTTCTCTTAGGGCCAGGGTTCCTCCCTCGGGTACCCGAGACGGGACAGGCTGGCGGCGCGCGGGGCGCTTGGAAGTCTGGTTTCCAGCCTGGCCACCCTGCCCCGCTAAACAAGTGCGCCCGGGCACCCAAGACGTCTCGGATGCGTGTCCCTCTAAGGAGATCCGCGTAGGGACAGCTCTAGGGGATCCGGGGAGTGCGACGCCCGGGGAGGCGCCCTGGAAACCCAGGGGAAAGCGTCACCCTCGTGGGCGGGTGGAGCCCGGGGCGCGGGAGGTTTGGTGATCACATCTCCACCCCTGCCGCGAAGGTGGTTCCTAACACTCGCCCGCAGCGGCAGTGCCCACGAGAGCGGCCGCCCCAGAGCGGGGCCCCGGGTCCAGAGCGGCGGCCAGACGCAGTCCCGGGAGCTTCCCACCAAGGGCATGGCAACTTGGGACGCTGGGCATTGGCACCGTCAGGATGGACACGCATGAGCCAGCTTCAGAATGTGCCTGCTGCAGAGAGGCTGCCCGGCCCATCCCAGGGGAATGTGTCCGTTAACTTTGGGGAACGCTACGGACACTTGTTCCTGCGTGTTTAATGGTGACTCAGATTACCTCCATATACTTTTAAAAGGAGTTACAGTGCTTCCTGGTGTCTGGCAAACGGCCTTACAGCCTCCCTGCCCTTGTGTAACCGTTTATCTCCTGCTGCCCTGTCGGGGAGCAGGCTGAGAAGTGCGGAAAATGGTGGCGAACTTACCTGTCCACTCTTTCTCCCACGCTGAGGAAGTCTAGGATTCAGGGGATGGAGTCAGCCAGCGACCAGAGTGGATTCCCAGTTGGAGCTTTTGACTTCAACATTGAGAGTTTGTAGAAAGTATTTATTCTCTGTTTTTGGTACCTGGGCCACTTTGGCATTTCTGAGGAGAGCTTGAGATCTCTGTAAATTTGGAGCTGAGACAGGGAAACTAAATCACAGACTAGGAAAGAAGGGAAGGAAGTCATTTATTGGGTGCCAACTCTGTGCAGACAGTTTATAACAAACATGTCCCCAGCAGTCCTTGCAGTAATACCAGAGGATAGGTGCTGTAACCTGCATCTCATAGAGGAGGGGTGGTGGCTCAGGGAGGTTGGAGTCTTGCCCAGGATGGTGTATCAGGGATGGGTGTCAGAGCCGGGGCTTGAACTCACAGCTGGCACCATGTCCCCACCCATGGCCACCTTGCAGGGCCACGTGTGGCACTGTGTTTGGGAGACAGGGAGAAAAGTGCTCTGCCGTTTCTGGAGGAGGAGCCTGCCTGCAGTAAATTGGTGGTTGTAGGGGAATGTGTTTGTGGGAATGGAGCGGGAGAATGCTCCCCGAGGCCATTTGAGTAGGCAGATGTGTTGGGCTTGGTTGCTGTGGGTTGTGTTGTGGATCCCAACAGGAACAGGAACCTCCTGCTTGGGACGGCTGTGAGCCACATGTGGGTGTCTGGCCGCTCTACATGCTGCTGCCCATGCTGTTGGACCAGGAGGCCTCATGCCTCCCATCAGGTTTGACAGCCCAGGGATTTCCAAGGCTTAGGGAGGACAGCAGTCTCTTCTCTCTCTTCTGGGTCCCTTCCCCCTGCCTTTTGGTGTCATCGTTGCTACCTGATGGCCTCTTGGATGTTTTGCATCTAGCAAAGGAGTCACGAGCCCCAGCCTGAGTTGTCCATCTAATGGAAACCCCTTGGACTTGCCCTGGCAGAGACCAGAGACCCAGAGAGGAGTTACTGGAACAATCTCCCAGGCCACAGGGAGCAGGAAGTTCTATAAAAGTTCAAATCTGTTCCTTCTTGTCCTGGTTTGTGTTGGGTGGGGTCTTGAAAAAAAAGGGTGTGGGCGTGTTAAGGGGAAAGTGCTGTGAATCACAGGCCCTGAACTTCTTTGCATTGCCAAGGGCAGGAGGGGAGAACACTGAGGCTCGCCCCATCCTGCCTTCCTGGCCCTTCCACAGAGCTTGGAGGTCTGGAAGAGGTGCACAGGCAGTCCCCAGCTCCCTGCCCCAGAGGTACTCATCTGACCTGGCCACAGCACCACCCCAACCCTGGTGGGTGGGAGAGGTGTACTGGGGCCCCCAGGGCTTCCCTCTGCGGGGGCTGGTGCCTGGGGCAGGCCTTCCCTCAACTGGCCTAGCAGTTCATGGCCCCTTGGGAGGAGGTTAAAATACAGATTACAGGGCCCCACCTGGTTGTACTGAATCAGAATCTCTGGAGTGGGATGTGGGGGGATTCCAGCAGTGGGATCTTTAACCAGGGACATCTGGTTCCACCTATCTGAGAACCCTCCTAGAGTTGGGGCCTGAAGCTCTCTTCACTTGACTGACACAGGCTGGGTGCAGGGCGCCCCAAACTCTGACTTGGCCCTGAGGCCCTCCTGGGGTGGTGGAAGTCCAGGTGAGAGTAAAGTCGGAAGTGCCCTGTTTGGGAGGAGGTGTCTCTCCTTTGAAGCCAAGCAATAAGGAGGGTGAGGTGCAGGGAGTGAGGGCTGAGGGCTTAGGCAAGGACAGTCCTGGGACCTACCCCCAATTCCTCCCGGTTCACGGGCTCCAAATGTGAGGCCTGCAGCCGCAGAGACCACAGCCCCCACCTGCCACCGCGTTGCCAAGGTGTTTAGGTGTTTACTGATATGACAGATGACAGTGTAGAAGGGAGGGGAGCCCCGAGGGAATGCCGGGGACAAATATGACACCCTTGGCCTGGCTGGGAAAAGGAGTGTCTGCTCACACCAGGCACTGCCCTTTGCCTTCAGGACAGGGCTGGCCACAAACAGAAGTCCATTGCCTCTGGTTCAAGTCCATAGACAGTTCCTGATGTTGGGGCCTGGCAGGGGGTCCCGTCCCAGTGGTGTGTGCAGCTCCTGGGCCGGGGCAGGTGGGCATTTACAAGCAGGAGGGTGTGGGCCCTGCCCAAAGCTGCTCCCAGCTCTCACTTCACCCTCAGGGAGAAGCACTTCCTCCTCCCTGCTTGAATCCTGTTCCTTTCATGCCACACCCACTGTGGGGGCCTTCCCTGCTGGTAGACTCAGTTTCCCTGGCCCTCTGGCACTGAGTCTCTGGTGGGACTGAGGCCAGCTGTTTTCCTAGTGGAACTGAAAGAGGGTGGATCCGGGAGGGTTTAGTTGGTCGGATGGGTCCAGCGCCATGTTTATCTGACCTATCCCTGGACCTTGCCTGGTCACCCTCCCTACTCTTGCCACATTGAGGCTTCTCTCTGCGCCTCATGTATCTGGTCTTCGAGGTAGGGATTAAAGACCTCTTAGCAAGACTTTGTGCCTTGAGTGAAAATGTGGCCTCCACTTAGGGTGGGAGTTGGCGGGGGGTTCTGAATGTTTTTCAAAACTTTAAAAAATTGAGCTATAGGTCGGGGCACGGTGGCTCACGCCTATAATCCCGGCACTTAGGAGGCTTAGGAGGGTGGATCACCTGAGGTCAGGAGCTCGAGACTAGCCTGGCCAACATGGCAAAACTCTGTCTCTACTAAAAACATAAAAATTAGCCAGGCGTGGTGGTGGGTGCCCATAATCCCAGCTACTCAAGAGGCTGAGGCAGGAGAATCGTTTGAACCCAGGAGGCAGAGGTTGTGGTGAGCCGAGATCACGCCATTTCACTCCAGCCTGGGCGACAAGAGTGAAACTCCTTGTCAAAAAAAAAAAAAAAAAATTGAGCTATAGTCTAGGCACAGTGGCTCACGTCTGTAATCCCAGTGCTTTGGGAGGCCAAGGCGAACAGATCAGTTGAAACTAGGAGTTCGAGACCAGCCTGGCCGACATGGCAAAATACCGTCTCTACTAAAAATACAAAAATTTGGCTGGGCGTTGTGGCACACGCCTGTAATCCCAGCTACTCGGGAGGCTGAGGCAGGAGAATTGCTTGAACCCAGGAGGCAGAGGTTGCCGTGAGCCAGGATTACACCACTGCACTCCAGCCTGGGCGACAGAGTGAGACTGTGTCTCACACATACAAAAATTGAGCTATAATTCCTGTCCCATAAAATTCACTGGTAATGTTTGAAATAAACCTTGTCAGGGGCTGGATACGGTGGATCACCTGAGGTCAGAGTTTGAGACCAGTCTGGCCAACATGATGAAACACTGTCTCCACTAAAAATACAAACATTAGCAGGGCATGGTGGCGTACACCTGTAATCCCAGCTACTCGGGAGGCTGAGGAAGGAGAATTACTTGAACCTGGGAGGTGGAGGTTGCAGTGAGCCCCAGTCTGGGTGACAAGAGCAAAACTCTGTCTCAAAAAAAAAAATAAATAAATAAAAAAGCTCGGCAGGAAGATATCTGGCTCTAGGTCGTATCCTGCAGCTTTCCCAAGAGCTCCCTCCTTGGGTTCACCCTTTTTCTGCATCAGTGTTATCTTTCTCTTCCAGATCATTCCCAAGGGAATGAGTTGGATGATGGCCCCCTAAAAAACGTATGTCCATATTTTAATTCCCAGAACCTCTGACTATGCGCTTATACAGCCAAAACAAAAAACAACCAACCAAAACCCCACAAATACTGCCTTCTGTGGATCTGGAGAGAAGGAGCTTATTTGGATTATCTGGGTGGCCCCTTCACGCGATCGCACTCAGCAGATAAATCTGCAGAGAAGGCCATGTGAAGGTGGAGGCCACAGCCAAGGAATGAAGGACGGCCACCAGAAGCTGGAAGAGGCAACAGATCCTCCCTTGGAACCTCTGGCAGGAGCGCAGCCCACACCTCGAAGTCAGCCTTCTGGCCCTGCTTGTTTTAAGCTGCTAGGTTTGTGGGGCTTTGTCAGAGCAGCACCAGGAAGCCACCCTCAGTACCCTAGATCAACGCCCCTTCACTTCCTCATCTATTCCTTTGCCTCCCCTCCCCCGCAAACTCCTCCACTTGTCACCAGGATGCCACTGAATTCTCCTGTCAGGTCACCCATGCGCTGTCCCTCTTCTGGCAGAATCGAGCTGTCACTTCTCGGACCTCGTTGAACATGTTCTCTCTGCAGCTCCTGGTGGGCACTGTGGGCCCCTAGCTGGACTCCTGCTCCCCCGTAACCACTCCACACAGCGGCCAGATGGATGACTTAAAACCTAAGCCGCATCGTACCGTTCCCCTGCTTACCGCGCTGCCAAGGCACCGAGGGTGAAATCCCCATGCCCTACCATAGCCTGAGGCTGTGCGTGGTTGGCCTTCACCCCCCAGTCTCACCACAGCCAAGTTCTTTTCTCACCCATGGTCTTTGCACCCCCATTCCTCACTTCACCCACCTGGAGAGACTTCTCAGCCACTGCATTGGTTTACCGCCATCTCTAGTTATCCCATTAAACCATGTCCTTACTTAGAGTCTCTCTGCGCCCAGTGTGCTAGCTTTGTGGGCAGGGGCCTTGTCTTACACCCCAGGATGCAGCACGATGCTGGCACAGGCTAGGAAAGCACATTGTGGATGAATGCATGAGTGACTGGGTGAAAAGGGTATATGTCAGGCTACGTCATGCCTAGGGAACAGCTGGACATGTGGGAGGGGAGGGGAGGGTCCGAGACAGCAGATGTACAGTGAGGGCCCAAGGGCTCTGTGAACCACCAGAAGACCTGCTCCCACAAGTTCCAATGAACAGAAGACAGGAAAACCATCTTCTGAAAGCATCTCTCATGGGCCTGAGGGACAAAAGGGTGGGGAGGAGTGCAGAGGTGTCCAGGGACTGCCAGGCAGCCAGCAAGGGCTGCGGGCCCGAGGCCCAGGCTGAGGCCAGGGGCTGCGGACACGTAAGACGTGACCCGTGGACCCTGGCTCCTGGTCCCATGCACAGGCCTGCGTCAGGGTATCACCCAGGCCTGGGTGTTACTTTGCTGTGATTTATCCTCCATTGTTAGTACACAGTCCTCCCAACTCCACTTCCCAGGTAGCAACCTTAAAACCAGCAGGTGCTGTTTATAATCGTGCTGGGGCCTCCAACTGAGATAAGGGGCTGGTTCCCGGTGTGTTGTTCCAAGGGACACACACATGCCTAGGCAGGGGCCAAGGTCTAGTTTGGTCAGTGAGGCCCTCAAACGTGTCTTGGAACCAGGTCAGAATTGGGGTAATTCAATCCAGAGGGTACCTGAAGGCCCTGTCCCCTCGGAGAGGGTAGAGTCAGCCTGACCTGGCTGGATGGTCATCAGGAGCACATGGGAACTGCAAGGCAGGGGAGATGGAAGTGGACTTGGCGTGTGCTGGGGTGCTGTGGACAGGTTCCCTCTGAAGGAGGCTGGGAAGGAGGGCCAACTCAAGCCACCTTGGGCCCTGCCCTGAGACCGGAGCCTGGAGCTGCTCCCAGAGGGCAGAGGCCTCCTCTCCAGACCAGGCACAGCCTGCAACAGCTCTGCATGCCTGGAGGTGACCAGGTGCCCTGGAGCAGCACAGCCAGGGAAACGGCGCATGAGATCACACCATGGGTGTACCCTGCAGGTACAGATATGGGGAAGTGTCCTCAGCCATTCTGGACATTGAGATTTTCAGTCTTATGAATGGCAGCCATTGTTCCCAAGCCATTTCTGGGTGCCAGGCACCTTACATCCATAATCTCCTTTGATCTTTACAACCGCCCTATGGAAGCAGATACAGTTATTTTCACACCTCACAGATAAGGAGATGGAGGTGCAGAGAATTACGTTTAGCCCAGGGTCACACGGAAGCCAGGACTGAGTCAGCCTATCTTCCCAGGAGCCCTTAACCATCATGTGAGCAGCTAGCGGGAAGGACTGCACACCCCGAGGTCACCTCCAAACACCCCCTTGATGAGGGGTCCCTTCTAGTGGTGGATGAATAAGGACACTGGCAAATTGTGATTAGATCCCTTTAATTATTACCTGGACAAAGAAGACTCCAGCTAACCCATCAAATGGACGAGTGAAGAAAGCTAAGCCCTGGCCAGTGTGAATGGAATTTCACAGCATTTGCCTGACAGCTGCGAGGCCCTGTGGATCTCCTGCCACCTGCTCCTTCCTCGGATTGGGGAACTGAGGCCCAGCCTTTCCTTTTGCCTCAGATTCATTACTGACTCCAGAATGAGGCTTTAACCATGATTATTCTTCCCTAAGGTATTAACTTGATAGGCTCTTGGACTCTGTGGCTCACCAGCCAGAGACAGCACCATGGGCAGTGGGAACTCAATGGCAAATAGCAAATGTATCTTCTTGGACAGAATCGAAGTGGAGAACAGCCTGTGCCAGGCACGGGCGGGCAGGCAGGCTTCCACTCAGTCTGGGCTGAGGGGCAGTGCTTCTTCTGTAGGGTGGAGGGTTGAGCGGTGTGGTAGGTGGGAGGAGAGCGCCTGCGGAGCTGGGAGTGCAGGGTATGCCGGAGCAGGGGGACTCCTGAGCTGGCCTGGCACCTTGGGTGCTTCGCACTTTGGGGATGTGAGTGGGCACGAGATTCGGGCTGTGGTGGGGGACGGGCCAGGGAGCAGGCAGCTGGAGGAGGGCCTAGAGCTTGCTGAGGGGTTTGGATTTTGTCCTGAAGGTGCTGGTGAGTCCATGAAGGAGTCGCATTTATTATTTTCTATGTTTTTGAGTTACAAATCAACCAGTGGGCATAGAAGTAAACAATCAGGCTGGGCGCAGTGGCTCAAGCCTGTAATCCCAGCACTTTGGGAGGCCGAGACGGGCGGATCACAAGGTCAGGAGATTGAGACCATCCTGGCTAACACGGTGAAACCCCGTCTCTACTAAAAAAAATACAAAAAAAAAAAAAAAACTAGCCGGGCGTGGTGGTGGCGCCTGTAGTCCCAGCTACTCGGGAGGCTGAGGCAGGAGAATGGCGTAAACCCGGGAGGCGGAGCTTGCAGTGACCTGAGATCCGGCCACTGTACTCCAGCCTGGGCGACAGACCGAGACTCCGTCTCAAAAAAAAAAAAAAAAGAAGTAAACAATCAAAAGTACAAAAGGGCCCAAGAAGGAAAGCAAGAGCCCCCCGACAGTCCCTCTGCCAGGGGCAGCCCCCAGACCATTTCTCTTGGCATTTGCCCCGAGGGGTGCTCCGGGCTGAGCCCTGGTTTTGTGCTGCCATCTTGGAAGCAGAATCTGTTGACTCTCGACTGTGAGCCGCGAGGCCCGTGGCTCATGCCAGCCTTCTCCCCCACGTCCCACTTTAATTTCTGTTGTGTTTTGATTTTTTTCCTATGGACATTTCGGCCTGTATTTCTGTCAGGTGGTGATTATATCTGCTGACTGTCAAGAAAAACGAGGAAGAGCGTGTCCCCCATTCCTTTCCCAGGTCTGCTCCTGGTTTCTGTGAGCTGCGCTGTTAGGTGAGCGCGTTGCCTCTCATGAGGTCTTCCTTTTGAAAGGTAACTCATGCTGCTATAAAGAAACCGATCCTGCACAGGGGGAAGCTGTGGAGATGTCACCTGTCTCGGATCTCTGCTTTCCTACTTTGCCTGTCAGAGGCAGCCACTATTTATCATGGCTTCCTCTGCACAGATTGTGTATTGAACACATTTGCATTATACCATGACTTTTATGCAGTTAAGGTTTATACCATGTACATTTTTTTTTTTTAAAGATGGAGTCTCACTCTGTCGCCCAGGCTGGAGTACAGTGGCCAGATCTCAGCTCACTGCAAGCTCCGCCTCCCAGGTTTACGCCATTCTCCTGCCTCAGCCTCCCGAGTAGCTGGGATTACAGGCATGTGCCACCACGCCTGGCTAATTTTTCTATTTTTAGTAGAGACGGGGTTTCACCATGTTGGCCAGGCTAGTCTCGAACTCCTGACCTCAGGTGATCCATCTGCCTCGGCCTCCCAAAGTACCGGGATTACAGGTGTGAGCCACTGCGCCCGGCCTAGGATCCTATTTTTAGATGCTATTCATTACTCAGACATTACTCAAAATTATGTCATATTTTAGCCTGCTTCAGGCTTACCATCTGGAAATTAGCATTTCCCATCTGGAAATTAGAAAGTTAAAGGAAGAAGCATGCCTTCCCACATCCTCATGGTCAGCCAGCTGCTTAATCACCCTCATGCTGAGCCTCCTCACCCCCTTTCTACGTATGCCACATAGCTGCTAGGGCTTCCTTTACTGTGCCCTTGGAGTGGTTCCAGCATTTCCTGCATTCCGTGTTCTCTTTCTAGGATTTCATATTTGTTAGACATGGAGATAAACTTTCTGGGTTCTTATATGTAAAAAATGTTTTTTTGGCCTGGTGCAATGGCTCACACATGTAATCCCAGCCCTTTGGGAGGCTGAGGCAGGAGGATCGCTTGAGCCCAGGAGGTTGAGGCTGCAGTGAGCTGCGTTCACACCGCTGCACTCCAGCCCGGGCAACAGAGTGAGAGCCTGTCTCAAAAAACAGTTTTTATTTCTCACATATGATTGGTTGGTTGATGGCTTGTGGTTCGGAATTGTTTTCCCTCAGATGTCTGAAGGGGTTGTAACATCCGGTATTGCTCACAAAGTCTGGTGCATAAGGATTCTTACTTGTAACTACTTGTAACTTGTATATCTGCACTGGGAACCTTTGATATCATTTGTTTTTCCTTGGTGTTCTGAAATTTCGTGAGGCTGGGTCTTAATAGTGACTCTTAGTTTTTCTCCTTCATTGAGGATGGCACTAGTAGGTGAACCTTGCCAACCTGAAGACTTAGGTCTTCAGCTCTGAAATTTTCAAAGAATACAGTTGACCCTTGAACAACTTGGGTTTGAACTGCGCGGGTCCACTTAAAATGGATTTTTTTTCAACCAAACGCAGATTGAATAATATAGTGTTTGCGGGATATGAACCCGAGTATACAGGGGGCCAACTTTTCCTGGGGGCCCACTTCAGGATTTGATGCGGATTTTGGTGTACTTGGGTGCCCAAGGACAAATCCCCTGTGTATACCAAGCGAAAATTGTATTTTCTTGTTTAATTCCTTCTCTCCATTTCCTCTGTTCTTTCCTCTGGGATTTTTTTTTTTTTTTCTTTTTTTTGAGATAGAGTCTCATTCTTGTTGGCCAGGCTGGAGTGCAGTGCCATGATCTGGGCTCACTGCAACCTCTGTCTTCCGGGCTCAGGCAATTCTCCTGCCTCAAGCTCCCGAGTAGCTAGGATTACAGGCATGCACCACCATGTCTGGTTATGTTTTGTATTTTTAGTAGAGATGGGGTTTCACCATGTTGGCCAGGCTGGTCTTGAACTCCTGACCTCAGGTGATCCGCCCACCTTGGCCTCCCAAAGTTCTGGGACTACAGGCAAGAGCCACTGCACCTGGCCGCCTCTGGGATTCTTTTTTTTTTTTTTTTGAGACAGTCTTGTTCTGTCACCCAGGCTGGAGTACAGTGGCACGATCTTGGCTCACTGCAACTTTCACCTCCCGGGTTCCAGTGATTCTTCTGCCTCAGCCTCTCGAGTACCTGGGATTGCAGGCATGCACCACCACCCCCAGCTAATTTTTTTATTTTTGGTAGAGACAGGGTTTCACCATGTTGGCCAGGCTGGTCTCGAACTCCTGACCTCAGGCGATCTGCCTGCCTCTGCCTCCCTAAGTGCTGGGATTACAGGTGTGAGCCACGCCTCTGGGATTCTTAATAGGCAGATGGGGACGTCCCCTCCTTTCCTGATCACTTCTCTTACAGTTCCCAGTGCTTTCTCACTCTCTGGAAGAGTTCCTTGATTTTTTTTTCTTTGTTCTTCTATTTTTTAAATACAGTTTTGGCATTCATATGTTTACTTTTGATGAAGACTAAAGGATTTTAAATTGACTTTGAAAAACATTTTTTAGATTCATATGGTTGAGATTCCTCGTGTGGCACAGAGTGTACCTAATCTAAACTCTTCCCCTCCCCCACCCTTTATCACTAGGTCTCTAGCTGCAGCCTGGGGAGAGCGTGGGAGGGGGAGGGGATCAATGCCACAGCTCCCAAAGCTGGCCCGTAGGCTGTCTTCCTCTCGATATCTGTTCTTTTTTTTTTTTTTTAATTAATTTATTTATTTTTTAACTTTTATTTATTTTCTCTTTTTTTTTTTCTGTTCTTTTCTTGATCCCATTCTGATCCCTGCTGTTTGCTAGACTGGAGCCTCTCATCCTGGCCATCCATGTTTCCAATTTAGGGCTCCATGGTTCATGCTGATGATCCTGTCCACCTTCTGTTTTTAGAAACTTATCAAAATCTCTGGTTTGCTGATATCACCCTCTACTTCTGTTTTTAGGATGATTATGTGTTGTTTTTTTTGTTTTGTTTTGTTTTGTTTTCTTGGAGACAGAGTTTCTCTCTTACTGACCAGGCTGGAGTGCAATGGTGCAGTCTTGGCTCACTGCAACCTCTGCCTCCTGGGTTCAAGCGATTCTCTTGGCTCCTCCTCCCAAGTAGCTGGGATTACAGGCACATGCCACCACCATGCCCAGCTAATTTTTGTGTTTTTAGTAGAGATGGGGTTTCACCATGCTGGTCAGGCTGGTCTCGAACTCCTGACCTCAGGTGATCCACCCGCCTCGGCCTCCCAAAGTGCCAAGATTACAGGCATGAGCCACCGCACCCAGCCTGTGTGTCTTTACTGTCATTAAAGTGTGATTTTGTGAGGAGAGATAATTAGGTGGAACTTGGAATGCCAAGGTAGGATTTTAATCTGGAGTTTGATGTGGTCAGGTTTGCATTTTAAAAGTCACTGGAGAGGCGAAGGAAGGAATGGATGGGACAAGATGATATAGGGTAGCCACTTGCTATCCAGGTGAGAAGGAAAAAAGCATGACCAGGGCAGAGGCCATGGAGGTGGCAGCAGACTCTACAGATATTGGAGACTTGTAGAACCGCAATTTCTGTACCAGAGAAGGCTGATGTTTGATGCCAGCCATGGAGTTCAGCAGTCTGGAGCAGAGGAGCCACAGGTGAAATCATGTAGGAAAGAGTCCTGAGAACCACGGATGGGCCCTGGAGCCACAATCAGTGAGCGACACCTAGAAATGTGGGTAGTTAGGGCCAGGCTGAGTGGAACTGATGTGCGTGAGATCTGCAGTCGTGGAGCCGTGATGAGTCAGCACGCGTGACTGGCAAGCAGATCTAATCGATAGCACATAGTCGTGTGCTTCTGGCTAGAAGACAGGGCACACGGGGACAGGTTCAGGAGGACTTGGTGACTCAGTTGGATGTGGACATGAGGGAGAGGGAAGACTCTAGGATGACTGCCAGATTTCCAGTCGCCTGGGTGATGCCATCCTGAAGATGGGGGGCTTTGGGAAGGTGTTGCCTAGGTTGTGTTTAAGGTGCCTGCAGGTTGAAAGATGCAGTAGTGATCGAGTCTTGGGGAGTTTGGGGCTGCTAGTTCTTCCAGCTGGCTCTGGAGCCAATCCTCCTGCTCTATGGGAGCCCTGCACGGTTCATTACTCCTGCCTCTTCCCTTCCCCATTTAAACTTTCTCATTATTCCCCATACATTGTCCAGTCACTGGCTTGGCTTGTGACATATTTAAGAGTTGGCAGTATGCGTGTGCATGCAAATGTATGAACATGTGTCTCTGTGTGTGTATACTCGGGGGTGGGATTAGCTCTGAACCGATGAGCTTGTCGCCTAAAGATAAGAATCCCACATTGGGTGTCCTGAGAGGAGAGATAGGAGAAACTGAAGAGGCAGAAAAGCTGGACTGGCTTTACTACAAAACCAGCAGGGGAATGGTTAGCAG